CCCACCAGCAGTGTCGGAAATCCCAAAAAACTCTCAGGATTTTGGGATAAAACCATCGAGAACGCCCGAAATTCTCAAAAAAACCTCATCGAATTTGACGTTAAAACCCACCAGAAGTGTCGGAAATCCCAAAAACCTCTCGGAATTTTGGGATAAAACCATCGAGAACGCCCGAAATTCCCCAAAACCCTCAGAATTTTGGGAAAAACCATCGAGAACACCCAAAAATCCCCCAAAAATCCCTCCTCGAATTTCGAACCTAAAACCCCACCACGAACCTCCGCAACCCCTCGAAACACCACCAACACCAACCGCGATTATTCCAAATATTTCGGGTTTTTTTTTTTTTCGTTTTTTTTTTTTTCCCCCCATTTTTTTCCCCCTTTCCCTCCTCAACACGCGTGACCCGGGTAAGGCCAGAGCGGTTCCGCGGTGCCGGTGGCGAGCGGGGCCGGCTCGGAGGTGGCCCCTCCGTGCGTTCTCTGATGCCGTTTGTGATGGGAGCTGCGGCTGAAACTTTTCCCGCAGAGGCCGCAGCGGAACGGGCGCTCCCCGGTGTGGATCCGCCGGTGCTGGGTGAGCGTGGATTTATCCGTGAAGCGTTTGCCGCACTCGCCACACGCGTACGGCTTCTCGCCCGTGTGGATGCGCCGGTGGCGGATGAGGTTGGAGCTGACGTTGAAGCGTTTGCCGCAGTGGCCACACGCGTACGGCTTCTCGCCCGTGTGGATGCGCAGGTGCTTCACCAGGTCCGAGCTCTGGCTGAAGCTTTGCCAGCACTCGCCGCACGTGTTGGGGATGGCCAGCGAGGCCGTTCGGTGGCTAGCGGAACCGCCGGCCGGGCTAGCGCGGCGGGGTTTGCGCGGTTTGACGGGCGGGTTGGGAGTTGGCGACTCTTTTTTGGGCGGGCGAGTGAAGCTCTTGCCGCAGTCCACGCACTTGAACGGTCGCTGGCCCGGGGGAGCCACGGCCCGGCCGCAGTCGCGACATTTGGCGACCAAAGCGGCCTTGTGGGCTCGGCGGTGCCGCTGCAGGTGAGAGCTCAGCCCGAACGTTTTCCCGCACTCCAGGCACGCCAGGGAGCGCTGGGCGAGCGCGGGGCCTCGCTCGCCATCGCTGACGTCCTGCTGGTCCCCGGCCACATCGGCGAGCCGCTGGCCATCGCTGACGTCCTGCTGGTCCTCGCCGAGCCCTTGGCCATCGCCCCCGGGGACCGACCGGCCGTGGGCGCGCTCGCCCCTTTGGCCATCGCCCCCGGGGATCCGCTGGCCCGCGGTGACATCGCGCTGGCCACCGCTGCGGTCGCCCCTTTGTCCATCGCCGCGCTCGCCTCTTTGTCCATCGCGGTGGCCACCGACGCCGAGCTCCCGCCGGCCGCCCCCGCTGGGTTCCCGCTCTCGTTGCCCGTGGCTACCGGCGGCTCCGGCCGCTCGCCCGTGGCCCCGGCGGTGCTCGGCCAGGGCCGAGCTGCGGGCGAAGCTTTTCCCGCACTCCACGCAGATGTTGGGGTGCTCCGCCGCCCCTCCCCCCCTCTGCCGGACCGTCT